AATTGTAGACACTTTAATACTCAAGATTAAAAGCAAATTTAAATTTGAGTTAATCAAAATTTGAGTTAAACATTATACTGAATGCAATACACTTTGTTTAAGTGTAGTAGCTCTTTTAGTTTTTAACTTAAGCTGACTTGTATGAAGCTGCGAATTTTTGAGCTTAATAAAACTATCTACTGTATCTATCTCGTACACACAAATGAGTTTGCAGCTTGTATAAGTTGTATTATACATGCATGTACCTCGACTTACACTAGAACCGAACTCGTTCGACATGTTAAGAGCGATGTTGCACTATATATATATATATATACACCTTAGGCTTAGTCACTAAAAATAAAAAAAGGAAAATTTTTTCTCAAACTAACCTTTGTGTACTTTATGGAACAACACTTGGTCGGTATCGTCAGCTGCTTGCAATTCTTTGATCAATAATAAAATGATTCCGAGCTTAAAAGTGTACGAAGCAAAACAGAAAGACATTTTGGCTTTTCACCTGACGATATTCGATTAAACTGATCGCGTCGTTAGTGGCGTAATAGTGTACAATACAAAGCTATATGGTTTCTTGATTATCTTATAATCAATGTACTTAAAACTAGTGAATTCAAATGTGAATTCAAAACGCATTAAAAAATCATTTCAATGTTAACCCTGCTGTGTTAAAAGCTAACATTAACTATGCATTAGATGCGCTCATATAAAATTAAAATACGCAGTTTTACAGGCTTTGAAGTAGCTCGATACACCAGTCCTCACAAATCCGTTATACAAGACTCTCGAAAACGAAACTTTATGGTATCTGAACAAACCCACGTGATTATTTGCATCATGTTTCCGTGCAGGGAATATTGAAATATAACCTGACGTGTGAGTTGCTCACGTCATCTTTCGGCAGGTTGTATGTATATAGCGTGTTAGGTGTTAATTGAAAAAGACCCCACATTATTCTCGCTAGAAAATAATAAAAAAATATTCGGTTGAAATATTCGTACCGGTGAAATATTCGCAATTTTATCAACACTAAATTAACATAACAAAAATTAAAATAATTATTTTGCTCTATATAACACCTCGTGTTTTAAATAAAGATGTCAATCAATCAATATATATATATAAATTCACGGAGATATTAATGTTTAAAATCGGGAGCATATTTCTTGATGTGTCTGCAATATGCCAAAAACAGCGTATCAAATATTAATCAAGATTTACCCGACTGAAACATGCACTATTACCTGTAAATAAATGACACTTGACAAATTGTTTATTATGAAACAAAGTATTATTATCTACAAAATACAAGCGAGATTTATGCGTCCGAAATCCGCGTGTGTTCCTAGCACGAATACGTTTCCTTATTTCATGAGACCACTGCATCGCGAAGGATCGTCATGGATCGTTCGTAGTTCTGAATTAGGGCACGCTGTCACATTGGAATTGTGAATTTTCTCACTTCACATTGAATGAATTTTGTAACTTCTGCAACGTTCTGAATTCTTGTTAAGAACACCCAAACTCTTTTGCCTTTCTTAATCTTGGCAAGTTCAGAATAAACTGAGAATGAAACACAATCAAACCATACAACTCCATAAGTAAAGACATAACAAGCAACTCCCCAGAGACATCCAACATTTTTGGAACAAAACGTAACAAAATAGTATCTTTGATACTGTGATGTGTATTTGCAAAAAGCAATATTATTTCCTCCATTAAAGAACAATATTCATCCTGCTCTAACCGAGAAATAATCAACTTTGTTTTGAACCCATGAAAAACATAAAAAATAGGTTATTTAAGAAAAATTGAAGCGCCTGCCTTGCATGGTCTTTCATGTACCTTAAGTTTGCAAAGACCTATTAAATACTTACATAATTTCGAACGTCCATATTTCAGGAAACAATGAGTTAAGACTTACATGTAAGATGTCTAAATCTACACCATATCCCTTACAAACCCTAACGACAATTCGCTGAAATACAAGTTACCCTGATATGTCATTAAGCAAACAAACGCTGGAGTTAAAATTTGATACGCCGATTTTCGCTAATTTTAGACACATCCCAAAATATGCTCCCGATTTTGAACATTAATATCTCCGTGAATTTTTAAGTAAAATGCAACTGTAATATATCAAAATCTAAGTTAGTCCTTCCTCTATTTAATGCAAGTTACTTCTGTTTGATAGCTTTACTTGTTTAGAAGTTATTACAAATCAAACCGGAGTACTTTTTTTTGGGCCACCCGGTATATATATATATATATATATATATATATATATATATATATATATATATATATATATATATATGTATATATATATATATATATGTATATGTATATATATATATATATATATATATTGATTGATTGACATCTATATATATATAAGATGTCAATCAATCAATATATATATATATATAATTTGTTTTGTTGTAGTAGATAGTAAAGTGCTCAACACTAATATCATAGCAGAGCAAGATATATTTATATCTTAAAATTAATTATTGCTATACTCAAGTTTCACGCCTTATTCAAGACGATCTTCAGGCAATTAATTCAGTGTATGTTTGATTCGTCAACATCAACGGTTGGTCGCTGACGCCACAGATGATAGATAATACCAGATGAATCACTCAGCCAAAATTGTGTCCGCGATTTTTTATGAGCACGCGTTGGCCCCCATTTTGGCAGTAAGTGTAATCCACGCCATGAAACGTGAGCAATCACGCATTTTGGCAGTAAGCGTCATTTTGGCAGTAAGTGTCGCACGCGCCATCTGGCGTGATAGCCTCGCGAAAGTCGCGGACACGAAAATCATAGGGATAGGTATAGAGTGATTCATCTGGTATAATCTATCATCTGTGCTGACGCGGAGGCTTGTCTTGCGTCATCGGTTTGAATTTGCACGCGCTAAATTTTTCCCTATGGCAGCACTTCGTATAAAACTCTGATCGCGTGTTCAGTGATTTGTTCGCTTTCAAGATGCATAACTTTTCTTCGCCTGGTGGAAAGCGATATGACCTCTGTTTGGAAGAAAAGTTCTGCATCTTGAAAGCAAAAGGGAACAAATCACTGAACACGCGATCAGAGTTTTATACGAAGTGCTGCATGCCATAGGGAAAAATTTAGCGCGTGCAAATTCAAACCGATGACGCAAGACAAGCCTCCGCGTCAGCGACCAACCGTTGATGTTGACGAATCAAACATACACTGAATCACAGATGATAGATAATACCAGATGAATCACACAGATGACCAAAATTGTGTCCGCGATTTTTTATGAACAAGCGTTGGCCGCGCCAATTTGGCAGTAAGTGTAATTCACGCATTTTGGCAGTAAGCGCCATTTTGGCAGTAAATGTCGCACGCGCGAAAATCGCGGTCACGAAAATCATAGGGAAAGATACACAGTGAGACATCTGGTATGATCTATAATCTATGACTGAATTAATTGCCTGAAGATCGTCTTGAATAAGGCGTGAAACTTGAGTAGCAATAATTATATATATATATATATATATATATATATATATATATATATATATATATATATATATATATATATATATATATATATATATATATATATACACAATAATAAATCGTTGTTCGTTGTACAAAAAGAGTGCTCAATAACAAATTTAATTGATAGAGCAAAATATACTAATTATAATCTTAATTATAATTTTATTAATCGCTTAATTATATATATATATATATATATATATATATATATATATATATATATATATATATATATATATATATATATATATATATATATATATATATATATATATATATACTATTTAAAAAACGAGCAGGAGTGTTTTATTAGGTTTAAAGCCACGAGCGCGCAACGCGAGTGGCTTTAGACCTAATAAAACACGACCTGCGAGTTTTTTAAATGGCTTCAAAAACGTTTGCATAATAAGTCAAATCTTTACATAAAAATCTTTATATAAAAATCTTTAAATAAAAATCTTTATATAAAAATCTTTATATAGTTTGCATAACAATGGTCTTTTGTTAAAGTGTTCTTTAGCTGGTATAAAGACGTATGCACGTGACTAATTTCTTACTCAAGATTGGATAATTGCTTCATGAATTATTAATGAGTTTTTGTTGCTTCATGAATTATTTAATGGCGGTGTTTTTCATTAATAGCGAGTGTATATCGCTCTTAGCGACACAGGTGCGAATAGAGGAGTTTTTCCAGGTCGCTATACGGAAAGGTATACCAGTGTCAACCTAGCCTCACCAAACGACGTTTTTGTCAACACGGACATCACCCGAAAATTAGTTTAACTATTTTTGGCGGCGTTGTGCCTCATAGCGCTCGTGTAAAGAAGAAAAAAACTTCAAAAATCTTATAACTGTCACATAGTGCATGTGACATTGTTTTCCATACTATTACATACTGTTGCATAGTGTTACATAGTTTTACAAAGTGTTACATAGTGTTGCATAGTGTTGGAAAGTGCGTACATTTTAGAAGTGGTAACACCAACTAATATATGTAGTTACCGCTGTTCAGTAGGACGGAAGTACACGGCAAAAAACGCCGAGCCTGTTACTCAACAGGACTGAACAATGTTTTGCTGCCCACATTGTTCACATTTGTCAACAATATTGAACAATGTTGTTGAGCCTGAGTACAGTATGTAATAGTATGCAACACAATGTAACACTATGTAATAGTATGCAACATGGAACAGTATGTAATAGTATGCAACGCAATGTAACACTCTGTGCAGTGTTACATTGTGTTGCATACTATTACATACTGTTGCATAGTGTTACATACTTTTACATAATGTTACATAGTATTACACACTGCACATAGTGTTACATTGTGTTGCATAGTATTACATAGTTTTACATAGTTGTACATAGTTTTCCATAATGTTACATAGTGTTACACACTGCACATAGTGTTACATTGTGTTGCATACTATTACATACTGTTGCATAGTATTACATAGTTTTACATAGTTATATACATACTTTTACATAGTGTTACATAGTGTTACACACTGCACATAGTGTTACATTGTGTTGCATACTATTACATACTGTCACATAGTGTTACATACTATTGCATTGTGTTACATAGAATAACACACTGTTACATTAGTGTTGCACCCTAGCCTGACCTCTATATATGACAATATTCTTGGTTTTAGGAAGAAAATATAACTCAAGTTCTCCGTTTTTGTATGTACCTAATCATCGTACAATACATATGACACTGTTACCCAAAGCATATACAAGAAATTGTATATATATCGTTGTCACGTAAAACCTGCAACAGACTTAGTGTAGCAATGCTGTTCCAACAACTTGCAATTGTCAACAGTCAGGATGTGTTCGCATTGCTTTGTTCCCTGCTAGTAGACAACTTGCTACAAGGTTGTCGAGCTCAACAGACTTGTTACAAGTTATTCCAAACTTGTTATTTTCCTGCAATTAGCCATTCCGAAGTTGATGAGTGGACTGGGGACGAGTGTTAAAAAGTGCCCAAATTCAATCTCGTTCCCCGAGCCTGCGATCCTCGGGAAGGAACGCGAGGCTCTGGGATAATCCGTTGCCGGAAGCCAGGAATTCTGGCTAAGATTGAATTAAGTATTCCATTTCAACGGCCAATCAGATTCCTCCCTGAAACGGATTATCCCAGAGCTTCGCGTTCCTTCCCGAGGGTCGCAGGCTCGGGGAACGAGACTGGCCCAAATTAAGAATTGAACCAAATCACTAAAAAGACCACCTCAACATTAGTAAGAAAAAAAGTTTGAAGACGTTTACATGAATATCCATCGAATAATAAACTTTTGAAAAGCGTGGTATTTACTATGAAATGTATTGTAATTTTTGTTTTTGGGACGCGCGGACAATCTTTTAATAAGTAATTTCACGATTTTCGAAAGCTTATTATTCGAAGGGTATTCATGTAAACGTCCTCAAACTTTGTATACTTACTAATCTTGAGGTGGTCTTTTTAATTATTTGGTTCATTTCTTAATTTGGGCACTTTTTAACACTCGTCCCCAGTCCTCTCATCTGGCAAATTCAACAACTTGTAGCAACTTGATAAAATAACAGCGTTGTTACGACTTGTTGACAAGTTGTGAGATTTTTACGTGTGCACATCATACAATCATTTTCATAGTATAGGCGTAAACTTCAACTTCACATAAAGTCAAAAGATCGTTAACATGCGACTGAACTACCAAATATTGCCCGCGTATCCAAGGTGTACACACGAATGTTTTAGTTTGGCCAGTTGGAACACTTAGGTTATCCCCTGCGCATGTGGGATTCGATAAGCCATCATTATCTAAACTGTTTCCAATCTTAATGGCGAAATTGCCTAATCTCGCACCAGCAACGTTTCTGTTTGTGATCACAACTCGTGAAACTGGAATCTCTTCGCCGAGATCAACTCTCCACCACTGTGGGTCAGTGATAAGCGGCTGAGTTTGAGTGCAACTGCCTGATGACCATGCAGGATTACTGTTTCCGTCAACTGCTTTCCACCCTACGTTTGGGTAAGTCTTCTGACTCGTAGGTTTGTTCAGTGCAAAGTTGAAATTTGGATCTGCAAAATCAGTGAAGAAATCAGTGAATTAGGACGAGATTAAGAACATTTCTTTTGTGCAAATTTACATGTGAATATAATCATGGATAATAAAATAAATGGATAGGACTCTAGCTGACGTAAGCAAAACAACCTAGTTGCAATCTGTGACGTCACGCGTATTGCAAAGTTCTCTCCATTTTTGTTGTTTCGCTATACATTCCGCTTTAAAAGAGTAATATTGAAGCATAAACCAGTCTAATTGTTTTAAAAACATGCCTAAGCCACGACAAAGTATTCAAGGTAAATGTTTTTCGTCTTTGTTTTGTATTTTTTTTACATTTGTAGCTACGAAATTGGCGTCCCCAATTTTAACAAAATTTGGGATGCCGTTTTCACTGTTTAGTGCTTGAAATATTTGCTAAAATTGACTGGGAATACTTAGAGATTTCATCGTAGAATGGCGTAGTTATATCATTTGCTCTTTGACTAAAATGTTTAGCTGTATTATTGCTAAACATGCCGTTTTTGAGAATTTGGTTTGCAACTTGGTTTCAACATCCAATCACGCCATCAGCCCATTGAAAACATTAGGTCATGTCAGCTAGTTTCCTATCCATTTATTTTATTATCCATGATATGATCAAATACGCTTCACATCAAGTAATACACTCGTATACCTAATTACATACTCGGCCTATATAGAGATATTACTAGAAGTTACTATCGCAAGGAAAGTGCTGCCTCACCCCCAAGGGATCAAAGGCAGCATGCGCAATTTGCTGAATAAGGGGCTGTTTATATGACCCCGCTTCGCCAGGACAAGCTATGAAGCGGATGAATTCGATGTATTGAAAGAAGTCAAATGCGCTTCACATCAAGCAATACACTCGTATACCTAATTACATACTCGGCCTATATAGACTATTATTATATTAACTATATAACTGGGTAGGCAAAAGCCCCTTCCCAGCCCCCATGGGGCCCCCAGTCAACTATTTTGCCACCTCCCTCCTAGTCAAGGTCCCTTTTCTCTAAAATATAAGAAAAACATTGGCAGAAAAATGGAATCTGGAAGGGAAGTGTGATATTCTCTAAACAAGTTATAGTGACCGAGTTGTGGATTTTCCATAAACATACCATGCAAGCACTTATTATAATTGAAGATTCAGTTAATATAATGTAACACTGTATATCCAAAAGTTTATTTCAGACTAAAGCACAAAATACTGTCCTAGGGGTGGAAAAATACGAAAATACTCTTCGGAAGGATACCCCAGCCCCCCTACTGCATACAACACCACACCAAACGTTTTGTCACCAACAACCATGTCAGCATAGTACTACTGATGAATTCTTAAACAATGGCCTTGACAATCATTGTGATATTACTTATTCACTATGTTTATCCTAAAGGCCCTGTCACACTATTGCGTATCGTACTAGCGTATTCCAGCGTATGAAAAATATCACTCATACGCCGGTATACGCTGACATACGCTAGGGGTAAGTTAGGCGTAGGTTGTATACGTTTCAAGCACGGTCGCATACGGTGACATACGCTGGCATGCGCCGAGCCAGAAAATTTTTTTTAAGCATGTTCAAAAATTTTGTGCGTATCGGACGTATGTTTTATACGATAAGCATACTCTAGGCACACGCTGAATACGCTAGAGGTACGCCAGATGTACGGTACTCATACGCTGGCATTTCAAAAGATTTTGATGCGTATGAAAATTATTTCATTAATTTCCATACGCTTCTCATACGTTTCTCGCATACACAATAGTGTGACAGGGCCTTAACCCACAAAGGTTACATTTTTTTAGTGTAATGAATTACGTACGTATGAATGAAACGTGTGCGACAGACAGGCTTACCATCAAAAATACGTATTTCGCATCTGTTCCCTTCGTACTTCTCAAAACATTTGCATGACACAGCTGTTCCATCAGAATTCACGACACATTTTCCGTGCCTTTCATCAGCACAAGGCGAGGGACTGCATGGTTCCTAGTATAAGTAAATCGTATTAAATCGGATGACAGATACGATTAAGACATATAACTTGTCAACAAAATGTGTTCGCAACAGGCTTGTAGCAAGTCGTTGACAACTTGTCAACAAGCTCGGAACAAGTCCCTTGTGGAAATCAGCCTCCCAAGGGTTGTTCAAGCTAGCGTGGTTAAATAAAGTTTGTATGTATGTGTGTATATGTATGTCGAACCTGTGTCGCGTAATACATGACTTCCGTATTTTGTACCGTACCGTGTGAAACCTATAATCAAGGTTTGATTTAGACGCACCCCCGTTCCCAGGGTCTGGGAACGAGGTTGATTTAGACGCTGTTCTAAACCGGACCTATAGAAGAACATTCTTTACTGAACTAACTTTATTTATACTGGATAAAACTTTATCGGTTCTAAACTGTTCTCCATAGAGATCTAATTAAACCAGCTTAGTTTCCTCCCGTAGTAAGGGACCATTCATTATTTATGGGTGGGGGAGAGGGGATGGAGAAACTGGGGGAACTGAGATTTTTCCAGATGAAAACAGGGGGGACTGCAATTCTGGTAGACCAAAAGGGGGGGTGCTGAAATTGAAGGGTACGATATAGGAATAAAAAAAGGGAATACGATAAGGGAAAATGCAAAAAGAAATCAATTTAACATAAATTTCGTCTTTAAGTTTCTCCTGTTAGACAATGTTGATTTTCAAAATTACTAGGTCAAATCGAGCATTTCTGAAGCAGACTAAATTAGCGATTCAAAACACTCGAAGTACATGTTTCATCAGATCTTTTAAATGTGTGGGGCTTGGGTGGCGAAGTGGTTAGCGCACTTGCCTTTTACTTCTAAGGCCGCAGGTTCAAGCCTCAGTGAGTACTTCCTCAATGCGACTCGAACCCAGTCCTCGTGTGAAAAGAGTAAAAGTCAACGCTCCTCCGAAAGTCGTGGGTTTTCCCAGGGTCCTCCGGTTTCCTCCCGCCACAGGGAAAGTTGACAGGGTGGATTAGGTAAAGGGGCCCAGAGTAATTGGCATATGCTGTTGTGGTGACCCTGCCCAAGTTGGCAAAAGCTAAATAAAAAAAATTAACTAAATGACACTTGGGTATCGCCCCGTGTTATAAATCAGATAAAAGATTGCTGTTGGTGCTTTGAATATTAATACATAATAACTAACTTTCTTTTTTTTCTCTCTGTCCCTGCTGTACAAAGTTTATAGTTGCAAGTGCAAGAAAACTTGCAGTAGTTTTTCCCTGCGAGATAGCAGTTCTCTTAGATACCAATCCGATCTTTCCCATTAGTCGTTTAACCCTGAACCTAATTTTCAACGAGTGACTGACTGAAAATTGTCCTGGGGACGAGAATGACTTTGTCCAGTCCTAGGATTTAATCAAACCTCATCCAGTCCTATATAGGACTTGCATGATCAAACTTCATCCAGTCCTAGGACTTGATCAAATCTTCGTCCTGCCGAAACGATGAGTTAAATTTTACCTTGATGTATTGTCGTTGGTAAAATGCCCAGTCGTTCTTGGTTTTTGCCTCGATGACGCCATCACGCTGTTGTTGGGCAACGGTTAATTGACAGTTTACCTCATTGCCATTCATTGTTGATTTGTAGTTAAAGCCCGCACAAAATCCATCGACGTATCGTTGACAATGTAGAGCACAGTCCAACCAGGATATGGCTTTATGCTCTGACAACATATTCTCGATTAGTTTCTTACCTGCAGGAATAAGGTTTTATAAGAATTTTTCAAACTCAATTCATGTAGAGCAAAACGGTAATGAACGTTTTATGTAATGAATACAAGTCCTTTGAGAGTTTGATGATCGTCCTATAAAATACCTCAGAGTGTGCATGTGAGAAACATCGTTTTCAACGTAAACTGCGAGCGGTCCCTCTTTTCCGCGGGTTTAGAATTTTCAACGAGGAGCATCATTTTTTTGATGGACTTTTTATATTATGCAACAATAACCTGTTAGACGCGCTACAGTCAGAAAGTACACGTTTTTTTCAAAATTTTAAAATTATTCGTTAGAAAATGCAGATCTTTGGCCATTTTGCGTAAGGGATTGTCGAACCAATTCGATGTTTTCCTCTGTACTTTGCCGTTCTCGGTCTACCACTAGTTCAATAGGCCGTTTTTATTAGTTAATCGTAGACACTTCTACTCAAGTTAAACGCAGCTATCGCGGTCAATATTGCATGCATGAAAATGCATATAGCGTGGCACTAGAACCGAACGTTCGACTTGTTAATTAAGAGCGACGTTGCACTATATAGACCTTAGGCTTAGGGCCTGTTCATATGGGCAAAAGTTATCCCGGTTAACGAGAGAACTTTTCGACCAGCCAAATACTTTTGTTCTGTTCATATGGAGAAATATTATCCCACTTACCGGGAAAAGTTTTGAATTGAAAAGTTGCTGACACGAAAAAAAGTTATCCCGCTAAGCGGGAAAGTTGTGTTCACATGGGGAAAACATTATCCCGGTCACCGAGATCTCGCCTGTCAGCAAGCGAGATCTCGGTATCACGGGAAAACGTTTCGTCTCATATGAACGCAATGTAACTTTTCATATTATTTTCGTAACAAGGCGATATCTCGCTCGAAAAGTTTTCTCGCTAACCGGGATAACTTCTGCCCATATGAACAGGCCCTTAGTCACTAAGAATAAAAAAAATAAAATTTCTTCTCAAACCAACCTTTATGTACTTTATGGAACAACACTTGGTCGGCATCGTCAGCTGCTTGCATTTCTTTGTTGAATAATAAAATGATTCCGAGCTTAAAAGCGTACAAAACAAAACAGAAAGACATTTTAGCTTTTCACCTGACGATATTCGATTAAACTGAACACGTCGTTAGTGTACAACTACAAAGCTGAGGCCGGTTGTGTAAAACTCTTAATCACTTTTTTAATCACTATTTTGTAGTTTATAAATAGATATTAACTCTCAAATACGCGCTTCTTATTAGATGTCGTTTGCACTTAATTATAGTTAACTTTAATTACTTTTTCATACAACCGTCCCCTGCATTGTTTCTTGACTGTAGTCTTATATATAATCAATGTAATAAAAAATAATCAAAAAATAATTTCAATGTTAACCCTGCTGTGTTAAAAGCTACATTAACTATGCATTAGATGCGCTCGTATAAAATTAAAATACGCAGTTTTAACAGGCTTTGAAGTGCATGGCTCGATACACCAAACGTCCGCACAAATCCGAAATACAAGAATCTCGTAAACGAAACTTTATGGTATTTGAACAAATCCACGTGATTATTTGCATGTTTCCGTGGGAATATTAAAATATAACCTGACGTGTGAGTTGCTCCACAGTGTTGCTCACGTCATCTTTCGGCAGGTTGTATGTAATATATAGCGTGTTAGGTGTTAATTGAAAAAGATCCCACATTATTATCGCAAGGAAATAATTAAAAAATATTCGGTTGAAATATTTGTACCAGAGCTATTATTATTATTATTATTATTATTATTAAAAATTTTATTTCAACATGATAATTACATCAAAGAGAAAACATATTTACATATATATATATATATATATATATATATATATATATATATATATATATATATATATATATATATATATATATATATATATATATATATATATATATATAAACATAACAATAACATATATATATAAACATAACAATAACACAAGACATAACACATAACATAACATAACACATGCATAATAACATAACATAACATAACACTTGCCCATGCAGAGACGGGGTAAATTGCTGTTTTCTAGCATTAGGCACGTCATACACGTTAAATCAAATGCATTGTTTCTTGACTGTAGTCTTATAATCAATGTACTTAAAACTAGGCAAATGCAATGCAAATGTGAATTCAAACCGCGTCAAAAAATAATTTCAATGTTAACCCTGCTGTGTTAAAAGCTACATTAACTATGCATTAGATGCGCTCGTATAAAATTAAAATACGCAGTTTTAACAGGCTTTGAAGTGCATGGCTCGATACACCAAACGTCCGCACAAATCCGAAATACAAGAATCTCGTAAACGAAACTTTATGGTATTTGAACAAATCCACGTGATTATTTGCATGTTTCCGTGGGAATATTAAAATATAACCTGACGTGTGAGTTGCTCCACAGTGTTGCTCACGTCATCTTTCGGCAGGTTGTATGTAATATATAGCGTGTTAGGTGTTAATTGAAAAAGATCCCACATTATTATCGCAAGGAAATAATTAAAAAATATTCGGTTGAAATATTTGTACCAGAGCTATTATTATTATTATTATTATTATTATTAAAAATTTTATTTCAACATGATAATTACATCAAAGAGAAAACATATTTACATATATATATATATATATATATATATATATATATATATATATATATATATATATATATATATATATATATATATATATATATATATGCTATATATATATCATGAGGACCCGCACGCCTATAAATTGAATTATCTTGAAGGTGTTGTTCACCACAGCATTATTAGTCGAGGTGGTAAGAGTGGTGACATGTATAATGAATTTATAGTGAAATAATTTATGCGTGCATGAAATTTAACCCCATACAGATATGATGTAGCAAATAACTAACTGAGCTAACATACAAAGCAGGTTGTCATCACCAATTTATAATAATGTTAGCAGACAATGCCGCGCAAAGTTCAAATTGCGCCAAAATCTGGTCTGAAGAAAGAGTGCATTCTGCTTGATAATCGTGTGTATGGATTCAGTATGGAGATCAAGATCGAACAAACTGGCAATATTTTGATGGGTGCTTATTAAAGATTGATGCGTAATCAGTTAGGTATAATAGTCAAAAAGCTGTAGGTATCGCACCACTTAATCAGTTATTATTTGCTTTAGTATACAGTATGTTAGATACGCCGGGTACCATGGATTTCAAGCAGGGCTATCACAACCGCGAGTTGATTGTAATATGTTCATTATAATATACTCATTTCTATATTTTGTTACATGGCAGCAGAAGACAAATAATATTTATTTACATATATATACAGTGGCTGGTATAATACAAGAACCTTATATTATATTCATTTGTTCTTCGCATGACAGCGCAGTGCGGAATGCAAAATAATTATAAGCGCATACATATTATCTGAGTAATGAGTATTTATATATATATATATATAGGGGAAACTCGTGCGCCATAAAGATGTCCCATCTTTTGCTAGCAGGTTATGAAGATGATCCATCTTTTCTTAACCAGTGAAAGCTTAAAAAAGTCCTATATTATAAAAACTCCTTAAAAAAGTCCTATAAAGTCCTATCACGCTAAGTTATAGAGTAAAGCGGTGCGTGCAGCGATAGCGCTCGGTTTTTGAATAATATCTAGAATACTTTTAGTGAAAACTCTTGTGTCAGAAAGATGTCCCATCTTTTGCTGACAGGTTATGAAGATGTCCCATCTTTTCTTAACCAGTGGAAGCTTAAAAGGAGTCTTATATTATTCTTTACATCACGCTAAGTTAGGGTAAGGCGGTGCAGCTAGTGCTATAGCTTTTTGAATAATATCTATAGAATACTTTTGGTGAAAACTCTTGTGTCAGAAAGATGTCCCATCTTTTGCTGACAGGTTATGAAGATGTCCCATCTTTTCTTAACCAGTGGAAGCTTAAAAGGAGTCTTATATTATTCTTTACAATGCGCTAAGTTAGAGTAAGGCGGTGCAGCTAGTGCTATAGCTTTTTGAATAATATCTAGAATACTTTTAGTGAAAACTCTTGTGTCAGAAAGATGTCTCATCTTTTGCTGACAGGTTATGAATATGCCCCATCTTTTCTTAACCAGTGGTAGCTTAAAAGGAGTCTTATATTATTCATTACATCACGCTAAGTTAGGGTATAAGGCGGTGCAGCTAGTGCTATAGTTTTTGGAATAATATCTAGAATACTTTTAGTGAAAACTCTTGTGTCAGAAAGATGTCCCATCTTTTGCTGACAGGTTATGAAGATGTCCCATCTTTTCTTAACCAGTGGAAGCTTAAAAGGAGTCTTATATTATTCTTTACATCACGCTAAGTTAGGATAAGGCGGTGCAGCTAGTGCTATAGTTTTTG